CTCTAGGTGTGCTCAGTGCACCCATCCATCTTGCTGCCTTCGGGGGTCACTCTTAAAATCCAGTGCGCCCAGAATCAGGGGTACCCTGAGTTCTCATAATTCCTGCAGCCCGGTCATCCCAAAACACTGTCAAAACGCGAACTTAACCCTGAGCCTAAACCCCTAAACTGCCGTTTCCAGGCGGCGCACTACTTGTGGCCGCCTGACAACGGTGATTGGGGTACGAGGCAGGTAAGGTGTTATGAATGCAATGAGATCGGACACAACAAAAGCCAGTGCCCTAGATTGCAAGGAAGGTCAGTGAGTGGTGGGCAAGGAGGGACTGTCCCCTTGAGTAAAAAACTTGAGGACTCATTGAGTGCCGTGGGAAGGATGACGAAGCAGCTGCTGAATAAGCACCAGGGGGAGGAAAGGGCAAAGAGGGAGGCTGGAGAGAAAAGAAAGAAGAAGAGGATGAGAAGGAAGGAAAGGAAAAAACTGCAAGGATCGAGTTGGTAAAAAAGAGAGAGAATGAGGAGAAGAACCAGAAAAGGAGATGGGAAATAACGAAGTTATTGGCGGAACAACGTGAGGAATATGAAGCAAAACTGGAGAAGTTGCGATGAGGAATCAAAGGGATCACGATCGGGAAGAAGGAGGTTGTCGCGACAGCCCAAGTGACATCCGGGTCGGAAGATGAAGACGATGATGTTGAACTGGCACCTCTAAAGGACAAACGTAAGAGAAGGGATTCTACGGGAGCCGTAGAGAACAGCCCCCCGACCGAAACGCCATCGAAGTTAGGAAAGCAAGGTGAAGAGAGCACTCCATCGAGCACCAAGAAGAAGGGTAGGGGCAGACCTACTAAAGCCGATGCGCAACCAAACAAGATGGCTCGAGGAGAAGACCCATGGGAAGGGGTTCCCATGGAAGGGAAATTCGCTACGGAATCAGCATTCAGGAAGGCGGTCCGAAAGACGTTGGGGTCTTTCTACCCTGAAACGCTCGAGCTTATGTGCAAAGGAGTGGGGATTCCGTTTTATGGCGTAAATGACGCCATCGATGTCCTGGCAGAGCTTCACGTTACCTTCTGCTTCAGAGGGAAGACCGCACCAGGATCTACGTCGAGCAAGAAGGAGGACGTCTAGATAAGGGGCGACCTGAACGAAAACACAGGTGAGAAAAACGAGTAGCGGTGAGCGTTGGGAGCTGTTTTTGAAATTCTTGGAATGTCGAAAATGGTGTCGTTTGAAGAGGAGCATGAAGGAGCTTAGGCCATTGGTGGAAAGGATATTGAGGAATGTACTGTTGTTGCTTATCCTAGAGGGCGAGGTATTATGGGGAAGACGGTTTGTAGAGTGCTGTTGGGAGATTTTTGAGAACGAGAAGGAAAGGTGGGACAACCCAAACTCGTGTGTCTACGCTCTGGTCAACCGTGGTGTAAGCTGCAGTACATAGGGAAGACCGAACGAACGCTGTGCGAAAAATGCGCCGAACACATAGGAAGGACGTTGGGCGTGGAGCGCAGTAGGAATAAACTTTATTCTTGGCTGAGGAAATGGGGATGGGAGTCGTATATAGCTATCCCGGTGGCGTTAGCCGGCAAGAAAGATCTGGAAGGTTTGGAAGGAAGGATGATCAAATGTTGGTGTCCGGCGCTGAATACAAGCGGTTGGAGGGATGGACGGAATAGGAAGACGACGAAGAGGAAGGGAAGGAAGGGCAGACGGGAACGGAAGAAGAAGAGGGCGGAGTTCTTCGACAACGAGAAGGTAGTGAAGTTTGCCACGAAAATAGTGACAGGAGCAGCTAAGTTGACTGAAGTGATCGTCGAGATCAAAGGAAAGAGCAGACGGGAAGTGATATCAAGTGGTGGAAGAATTTGGGCCGAGGATTGGGGTGTGATTAAAAGAAGATTTGGAGATTCTGATTTGCAGGTGGGAGAACTGAATGTGAAGTTGAAGAGAGCTAAATCCTATTTTGAGGAAGGCGACCTGATAAGGTTTCTACGGGTGCGAGAGAGGAAGCCACGCGATCCGAAAATGAAGAAGCAACTTCATCAGCTTTTGAAGTGTCCATGGAAGAAAAAGAAGTTAGATGAGTTGGGGTTGGAGGAGTTATCAGTACTGTTTCAAAACATTAAGTCCTTTTCAAGGAAAGCGACGAGGAAGTCTTTGAAGACTGTATTGGACGGGGTGGTGAAAAGGAAGTTTAACGTTTCATTTCGAAGGAGAGTAGTGGTGGGAGCCAAGTACGACGAAAGGATTCTAATGGCCGAGATTAGGAAGACTGTTGTAGGGAAGATAGTGCAAGGGTGTCGTTCGGAAACTGAAGCAAGGATACGCTGTCAGAAGCTTCGCCTCGTCTGGCGAAAAAAACAGACTGTCGGAGACCTTCTCCACAACCACCGACGCATGAGTCGTCAGATGGAATCGGTCTGCTGTTGTGCAGGCCTTGACCTCCCCCGTCAGGGGGAACACGTGTCCTTTCGCCTAAGTTCCCGGTCAAACGTGGACCCGAGGGTTATGAATTCGAAGAACGTTATTCAGGGTTGTGATAGCCGTGACGACGATCAGAAGTTGTGTCCGGAGATGAACAACGAGATGGTGAAAAACGGAATCGATTCCGTATGGACGATACAAGAAGCAAGGAACTGCATGAGGGAAAGGAAGGATCGTAAGAATGGCCTGCTCGACAGTATCGAGGAGGTGAAGGAGAGGTGGGGCGGCTTGGTATTTTGTCCACTGGATAAGAATTCTGCGGAGACTTTGGTCTTATACCCGGTTAGTTATGAGTCAGGAATGAGGGAGAGTTTTTGGGGGAATGACGCGTTTGAAGCAGTTTGGAGGGAGGAGGAGGTGGTGATGGCGAGAGCCAAGAGAGACTACGAAGGAAGAGGGTTGAAGAAGATTGGGAAATGGAACAATCAAGGTTCCTGGGGCAAGGCATATATACTGCCGAAGCACAAAGCCTCAACGAAGTCTCACCCGATCTCGCCCTCATTCAACGAGCCTGCAAAAATGGCAAACCAAAGGATTGCCAAGGCTTTGAATTTCCTTTTGAACTCTTTGCCGGTCAACGATCATTTCAATTTGAAGTCCACGAATCTGTTGAAGAGTAAGCTTGAAGGAGTTAACAAATGGGCCAAGAAGAGAAAACAAGGGGAAATCATGGGGGTAGCTTACGACATTAAGGAAATGTTTAGTAAGCTACCTCATGAAACGGTGAAGCAAGCAGTGAGGTGGATCCTCACCTTCTTTGCGAATAAAGGTCGTGAGTTTGTATTGGTGAAGGAGAAAGAGAAGGGTGCGACTTTTGGGTATAAGAAAGGAGAAGAAGGGTGAGTGAGGATTGATTTCGCCTTGATTAAAGAGATGGTGGAACACGATTTGGAGAATACATTTTTGTGGGCATCAGGCAGGTTGATTAAGCAAAAGGAGGGCATTCCGATGGGAAAGTCGAGTAGCCCTCCGATTGCTTGCATTTTGTGTGCGTTCTTTAAATCTGTTTTTTTGAAGAGTTTGGGGAAAGATGTGGGGTTGGTAAGAGGGATCAGGTTAGTTGATGACGTGTCGCTCTTTGTTTGGAAAGGGTGGGGAGAGAAGAAGGGAAGGAAAGCAAGGGAGATTGTGAAAAAGTTCGAGAGAGCCTATGATCAGAATTTGACTCTCAAGAGAACGGACGAGGGAAAGAACGGACGAGGGAATGAATGAATGGACTTTTCTGGGTTGCAGAGTAAAAATTGAGGGATGTGGGGTGGTGTGCTGGTATAGATCAAAGAACTTTGAGGAAATTTGGAGTAGTGAAGGTCGCTTCAGCTACAGGAACTTCCAAGACTTCAACAGCTACACGTGCAAAAGGCAGAAGAGAGCGCTGGTAAATGGAATGATCCACAGAATAAGGGATTGATTCATGTCATTTTCGGGTGCGGAGGAGAGCCTGCTCACGCTGAAACGCGAGCTGAGAAGGCAAGATTATCCGTCAGACTTGTTTGACTAGACCCTATGGAAGTTTGTCAGGAAGAAGGCTCCTGACTGGGTGAAGTTGGCTAGGAGAGTGACCTGAGGAACTGGGTAAGAGGATAACCAGGCTCTGGGTTCGTTCGCGGGCCAGTCCCTGGGGAGGTTTTTTCGAGTCCGCTTTTCGTAGTGCATGGTTTTGGACTGACTTACCGTTTGAATTCAGAAATAGGTATTTCGCGGATCACACCTTGCAGTCTTTTTTTTGTATCTGGGTTTGGGAAGAGCCTAGTTGTATCTGGGTTTCGCGGCTTACACTTTGCAGCATTTTTGTTGTTTGTGACTAGGTGATAGGTGAAGAAGTAGTCAGCAGGATTTGAACCTGGGCCGTTCTCTGTTAATAGGAGGTGTCTAGGAGTTGACCTTTTGTTGTTTGCAGTGTTTGCTGACGGGCCAAACGGTTCGATCACGGGTCTGTCCTTGAACAAAGGTTTAGTCTAGTGGAGTAGGCTTTGCTTAGTTGGTTTGTTTGTTTGTTCTTTGCTTTTTCGACGGGCTATTCAGGCTATTAATAACCTACGGCCGTCTTGGATAGGTCTCTCAGTTCGAGATGCCCCCCTGATGAGGCTGGATCTAGCTCCAGCCGAAACGCGTCGGGGAATAGCCAGATGCGCAGACAAATTGTCTCGCATGCTGTGCCTGAGCCTGTCGACATTTTCTATGCACGTTGTCACGTTGCATTTCGTTTTGAATTGATACATTCTATCTGTGTTTACGTTGTGTGAACTTCTACGCTGCATGTGTGCTTCATGTCATGCATCCACTTTAATCCAACAAACCAACTTTGAATATACCAATATATATATACAGGGTTACCAGCCCGTACGTACGGAGGCCCCCGAGCGGACCTCCGTACGTTCGGCCGTTCGGGGTCCCGTACGGAGCCCAAACCCGACGGCGTTTGGCCCACGCCAAAACTTATTTCGGGGCCTAAAAATAATGTTTTTTTTTTTATGTTTTTTTTTATGAGTTTTCCATGACGCGAGGTACATGCCTATAAAGTTTCAGGTCATTTGGCTGAGCAAAATAAGAATTAAAAATCGCCAAAGATGGGGGTGTCAAAACATGCTCGACCACGTTTTTTTTCACTTTTTACTTTTTGTTTCCACTTTAGTTCGGGGTCTAAAAAACTTAATTTTTTTTTTAATTTTTTTTGTGGGTTTTGTATTATGTGAAGTACACATCTGTAAATTTTCAGATAATTTAGCTATGCCCAAAAAAAATGAAAACTCACCAAAGATGGCGGTGTCGAAAACATGCTCGCGCACTCACTAAATTTAATTCTCTTTTTATTTTTATTTATTTTTATTATTAGTATTTGTTCTGTGTATTTTACTTTTATTTCAAATTGGTAAGGAATTCGGATGTAATGCTCAGGCAAATCTTGTTTAATTTATTTTTCGCCATAACATATATTTTTTTCAGAT